GGGGGGGGGGGGTAACTTGTGGACAAGAGTAATGACGAAAACAGAACTGAAACCGTAAGAGATCCAAACCAACCGGTGAGCCTGTTCTGCCATCCAAGACAAAGGAACACGGCTTTCATTTGGTTTTTCGCTCCCAAACAAGTCCCATGAAATAAGAAGGCACAAGTGTCGAAAGTGCAGAGGCTTCTCGACACACATATCATCAAAACGTAAAAAAAAAAAGGATCGCAACGCGGACTCCGGAAGGCGGATAGGCAGTCTCGCCCCCTCCCCTTGGCACTCCTTGCCCCGCGCCGTGAATAGCAATCGATCTTCGCCCTAAGCGCCCTGCTGCTGCCGCGTTATTCACGTACAAACATTACACAACCCATCAACACACCCCCCAAGGGTGGCGAGTCTCGCCTGCCTACCTACCAACACCTGTTTCTGTGGAAAATTTGAAATTCCGCCGCGGGTGCGTTGACCAATCAGCAAACTGCGTGCCGCAAATGATTTTCTCTCTAGTTTATCCTGCGGCGTGTCCGAGAAATAACGAGAGAGAATACTTGCCTACTACTGTCGCCCATTCCGGCCGAGTGTGAACCTTCCATTCCCTTCGCCTTCTGCCTGAAACAAGACTTATACTTCATGCATATAACTTAATTACATTTTGCGAAAATGTGTGTTCCCACATGTCCTTCCGTGTCTTCCGTCAAACCGACTGATTTGACGGACTGGCTGTCTCACCAGGCTCTTCGCCCGCTGCCTGGCCTCCAGCTCGGCCTTCTTGGTAGCCGCGGCGCGCTCCCTCTCCGCCTCCTCGAGGTCCCTCTGTTTCTGCTTAGCCTCCTGCTCCGCCCTCTTGGCCGCGTCGGCGCGCTCCTTCTTTGCCTTCTCGAGGGCCTTGGCCTTGGCGTCTCGGGCGCGCTGGAGCTGTTCTCGCGTCCCGCGCGCGGCCGCGTGCGTGTGTGTGAGTGAGGAGGCTTTCAGAAAATATGCATCCGAAGGGAAGGTGTTGAAAGTCTTTACAGCGCCAGAGAGTGGGAGGAAAAACGGCTGGATACTTGTTCGTCCATCGGAGGAGAAAAGAGAGAGAGAGCGGGTCAGCTTCAACAAAAAAAATTACTTCGTACTAGTATTCTTTACTTTAGTGTATTTGCTGTTAATTTTTTTTTTGTTGTACTCGGAGTACAACACATCAAATCCATCTCTTATCCAATGAATACTAGAAATTCGGTTCACAAGCGGGTTGTCTTGGTTGGGATGAACGCGGTTGCGTGGAGGTCAGGCTTCTGGCTCAGGTGGAGTCAACCATGATCACCAACAACACATATGCCAACAGCGATAAATTCAGCAGCAGCAGCAGCAGCGGCAGCAGTAGGAGCAGCAGTGGCAGCAGTAGGGTTGAACGCGGCGGCCACAACTCTTGCACAGGTGGCGCTAGCATGATATCATCAACACTGGCACCGACACCACTCGCCAACAGCAACAAATGCAACAGGAGCACCAGCACCACCGCCGCCAATGCTTTTACGGCAGCACCAACACACGACGATCCCAACGAGGTGTGTACCTCTCGCTTAGACTCTTGCTCCGCCCTCTTGGCCGCGTCGGCGCGCTCCTTCTTGGCCTTCTCGAGAGCCTTCGCCTTGGCGTTGCGGGCCTGCTGGAGCTGTTGTCGCGCGCGCCGCGCGTGTGAGTGAGAAGGTTCTTAGAAAATAGGCATTCGAAGGGAAGGTGTTGAAGTCTCTACAGCAGCAGTGAGTACAACCAAAAACGGCTGGATACTTGTTTGTCGATCGAAGGAAGAGAGGGACAGCGTGTCAGCTTTGAACAAAAATTTCACTCTCATTTTTTAGTTTCAAGAGCCAGTTCACGGCCACCATAAAAAACAAACTTTCGACCCCTAGGGAAGATTTTTGTAGAACCAAGGGCAGCTGGCGTCTGCTAATGCTGAGGTTTTTCGAGTTCAATCTTGCAACCTTTTGCTTGTTAGTTGCTTTGGTCAACACCACGCCAGGATGGGTGCTGCTGCACACCTCACCCTACTAACACATGCGCGCGGTCGGCAAAAGAGCGTACTGCCAGCTGTGGGAGGAACTCCTGCTTCGGTGCCGACAAAGTTCACATGTGTCAAACTGATGTAGGGCCAGCTACGACCTCTTTTCACACACACACACACACACACACACACACACACACACACACACACCGCACTAAGACTGACGTCTTTTCATTGGTCAGCCGGTTAGCGCGGTCGATGCTAATAATAAAAACACACACACACACACACACACACACACACACACACACACACCAGCAGAACCACCACACTGCGTGGATCGTCAACGCCCAACCAACACGATGTGGGGAAGCGTGATCCGCAACAAAATCCCAGGGCACCTAGCTGCCCTTTGCGTAAGCTGCCTTACGCGTTGTTGGCTCTGGCTGGAAAACTGGCGGGATATGTCGATCGTTGCGAGAGAGCGACGCGCGTGCAGAGTGTGCTGCGTTGCACACCCTGTCCGAGTGCATGGATCTGCATCCTCCAGCTCAAAAACGTCGCGTCTTCCTCAGGAGAAGCTCACAACGCTCAACTCAAACTCATCCCGGATGATGTGGCAAGGTGCCTCACAGCTGTGGAGCACGCAGCGTCCAAGGTTTCACCCGAATGCAAGCATCCGTCTGGCAGATTTTTGGTGCCTTGGTAACGGACGGTGCTCATCAGATCCCTCATGGTGACATCGTTGAAAGGAAAACCTTCGGACAAATGGGACTGGTCCCAAAGGGAAATCCGCACGTTCGTCGGTATAGTACGGTTCGGGAGCACCGCCCCTGGATACGCTTCCGGGCGATACGGTTCTTGACGTCATCTCCCACGGTAATCATCGGTGAGGAAATCGAAGACGCTAACGCCTGCGCGAAGGTATGGCATGAGCTGGCGTCCATCGGGATGGTCTCACAAGATACCCTTATCCTTATCCCAACACTACAGTACCGTTATGATTCAGTCCCCCGGGCACGAGATATAATAGGGTGCTTCTTGGAAAAAAAAATATCCGAATATAATTTAAAATTCAATTCATCTGTAATTTTATCATTCCATCACACATCTACTGAAGTAATACTAGCAATTCGATTGACCAAGCGGTTTGTTTTGGCTGGGGCGAACGCAGTCTGGCTCAGGTGGAGCTAACCATCATCACCAATAACACGTACGCCAACAGCGACAAATTCAGCAGCAGCCGCGGCTGCAGCAGCAGCAGCAGCAGCGGCAGCAGAAGGGTTATCACGCGGCGGCCACAACTCTTGCTCAGGTGGCGCTAACATCATATCAGCAACACTATGATGGCAGCACCACCACTCGCCAACAGCAACTAAAGCAGCAGGGGCACGACAACCACCAGTGCTGTTACAGCAGCAGCAACACAAAACGATCACCCCCCCCCCCCCCCCCCCCCCCCCCCCCCCCCCCCCCCCCCCCCCCCCCNTACAGGAACCAAAGGAGGCGAGCGAGGATTGAGACAGGCAGGGGGAGCAGAGAGAACCACCAGCAAGACAAACAAAGCAGCGACAACCTCGGCAACAAGATCAAGAAAGACGCCGAGGGAATAGCAATCAATGGAGGCGAGCGAAGCTTGAGTCAGGCAAGGCAAGGCAAGGAAAAGAAACACCAGGAGCAAAGACACAGCAACACAGCAGCCGAGGCACCGACTACGTCGCGATGAGTACACCCTTCCCCCCCGCCCCCCCGCCCCCCCCCCCTGGGTTGGCACAGCAAACGCAAGGATGATTACCAGCTCCTGGTTCATCCTTGTGAAGGGTAGCCTTGGTCAGCGAAAACACGGCATATCGCTCCGTCCCGACATTGTACGAATGCGAGGTCACTGGTCCAACCACTACGGCATGCGTTAACATGGGTACACCCCCCCGCCCCCCCGCCCACGTACCTTGAGTTGCTTCTCCTTGAAGGCGTTCTCCTTGGCCTTGGCGGCATCCACCTTAGCCTTAGCGATGTCTTTCTTCTTCTGCTCCGCTCTTGCCTGCGCCGCCTGGATCGACTTCTGCTTCAGCTTCTTGGCGTCTGTTGATTTCACGCAAATAGAAACAAACCAATAAAACGACAAGGATGGCAAGCGGCAACATGCAATGTCACAAAACAAGAAACACGTCCAACCACACGCCTTTAACTTGCTAAAAAAAATCACGAAGACAGGCGGCACTGCACCAGGAAGGGGAGAGACGTAAATTCTGTGTGGCCCTCTATCTCACGTTCGAGAATACGCACCGCGGCGCGTTTTCATTCCTCATTCACGAAGCACCCACGCACACAAGATGGTCACACCGGCGTATTCCCATTGGTCATTCTGTTTGCGGTCGATGCCAATTCGAAAGACACACACACATACACACACCAGCAACAAACGTGTGTGTTGATCGTAAAAACACCCCGAGAAGTACGCCATTCTTTGCCAATCTTACACAAAAAAAAACACATATATAAATATGCCTGCTGCGTGTCTCGCTCACCCTCGTCAGCCTTGATCGCAGCGTCCGCCCGTGCCTTGGCCTCCTTTGCCTGAGCGGCCTTGCGGGACGCTTCTTCCTTCACTTGCCGTGCCGCCAGCGCCTTTGACTCCTTGGTCGCATTCTGCACCTCTTTCTGTGATGCCCCGCCAGAGGAGAGAAGAAGTTAGGCAGGCAGGCAGGCAGGCAGACAAGACATACGGATGAACAAGTTGACAAGAGGGAGATGATGAGATGTTGATATTTGAGGTTGTGAAAGAGAGAGGGAGGAAGAGAGAAAGAGATGTATACAGAGGGCGAAAGGAGAGGCAGAGAACAAACATGGCAGACAAACAGACACGCGGGAAGAAAACGAGAGGTCGAGGGGCGGGACGCCCCACAGATTGAACTATATAACGGGTAGCGACTCGATTTTCAAATGCATCACAAGCTTCTGGCAAGGAGATGACAGCGGTGGCGGCTAATATGTACGCATCCAAGACAGGAAAGGTGCGTGCTTGCTTGTCCCGACCATATGCTCAGCACCGTGGTTTACGCGAAAATCGAATCAAAGAGAGTGTTACCGGCGTGTCCCAACCTCCTTCACCTCTTAAGAAGCATAGCCGCTACTTCACATCCAGCTCCATCGTGCCAAGGGGTTTCACAGGGTAGTACTATAGCCAAAGAAGAGCTATATAACTGCAAGTACGGGGCATCTGGTCATGCGACATCGGGGGGGGGGGGGCCCAAA